CATACCTGCAACATGTTCTAATATCATCATAATCTGTCATATCAATATCAAATACTAATTCTTTTTCAATTGGTTGAAATAGTGATGGTTTAAGAGATTTTTTAACTATTGGCTTTATTTTAAAATAATTTAATAATTGATTGATTGATTTCCTTCCCCCCTCCTCCTCCAATGATTAATCAAGTATTATTTACTCTTGCAGTATAAATTGCTCCAATATCAATTTTTTTAGGAAATTTGTTTAAAACATCAGTTTTTAATTCCTCAATGTTATTATATGAATAATATCTTAAATACACATCCGTATTTAATGTAAAACTAACTTCGCGATTATGAAATGATTTCCCAACATCTAAAAATGATTATAGTGATATTTAGTATTATTATTAATAATAATTATTATTTATAGAAGCAAAAATAATACCTGTTTCGTAATTTAACCAATGAAAAAATGGCTTGTATGGAAAAAGTCTTTGATAAAAAACGCTAAAATTTGATGTAATAATAACACGACTCGCAAAGTCAAAAATTATGTCACGCCCTAACATGTGTAACATTGAATCCTGAGATGTGTAACAATAATTACAGCGTCTAATAATTCTATCAAATATTAAATTATTCAAATCGTCTTTTCTTAGAAGAGGCCAATCAATACAACCCCCAAATTCGTGTTCCTGAATTAAGAGATCGCATCCTTGCTTTCTTTTTTCTTTAGTGAGCCACCTGAGTCTTGATGTAACCCTCCAGTGTATCCTGGCATAAATAGAATGTACAACTTTATTTGCCTATACTCAATCAATATGCCATATTTAACATCATTTTTGAAAGAATCTCTGGCTTTTTTTTGCATGATATTAATATATTTAGTCATTGTGACAACATTACCAAGGCTGCTGGCATAAAGGGGTAAATTAACAGTAGGCTATGCATTCAGCCCTAATTTAATCGACTATGTCGTATTAAACAAAAATTGAGAATGCCATTATTGAATTATTTACATATATTGTGTGCCTATGGCTCAGATAAAAGTGAATATAGATCTATAATCTCGGTGATAGAACTTTTGATCTTTAACAAACTTGTTAGACGAATCAAATTTTTATGATTTAGAAAGAAAATGAGGATGTTAAATTCCAATCTTATCAGATAGTTGAACAAAGAAAATCTGACAATGGTATTTTTCAATTTGAAAAATAAAATATTTTTCCAAATATATTCAAAGTTATCAATTAATCGATTGATTATGATTTTCTCTTTAAAATAATAATATATATTTATAATGAATCCAAATGAAATCTTTGAACTTCTTGGAGCATGCGATGAACTATATTTTAATGAATTAACAGAGAAGATTTTGCAAAACCGTATAATAAAGGAGAATTGAAATCTGATGATTTCACATCTATTTAAAAAATCGATGTTTATATCTGTATTGAAAAAGAGAAATTAATTTGAAAAAGCTTGGGTGAAAATATTTTCAGAGTGGATGAAAAATATATACCATACTATCCGATCCAATTAGATCACTCCTACAGATTTTTATGAAGAATTAAACCTTACAAAAAGTTTTGCTAAAGGACGAAAAACTTTTATAATGCAATCTTTAAAGTAATAATTTTGGTTGCCATTTATCACCAAAAGGACCAAAACAATGATTTCTAATTTCTGGTTGGATTGATCAAAAACAAGACTTGCGTATATATATATATATATATATATATATATATATAAAGAAGAAAATAATTTGTCTTGCTATGTATGACTTTGAAATAATTCTTGATGATATATAATGTTAAACAAACAAACGAATATGTGATTTTTTTTAAAAAAAAAAACACCGGATGTCAAGAATATTGGGTCCAAGTTTTATTTTCAAGATTGTCAATATTAAGTAAAGTTGATGATGAAAAGGTACAAGAATTTAAAACATATAGGTAGATTAGTGAAAGATTTGTAAATCTGTTATTCATTTTTATAATATAAAATCAACAAGTTCCTTTTTATTATTTATTAAATATAAACAATTAGAATTATATATATAATTCAAAAATAATTTTAAATGAATAAATAAATGAATGAATAAATAATAAATAATATTTTTTATTCATTATTGGTTCTTAAAACTATTGGAAAAGCAGAGCCCAATAATCTAGCACCACCACCACCAACTTGATAAAATGGATAGATTTTAAAATTGATATCTGTGTCATCCAAAGTAACACGTGTGTCCTCACGTTTAAGAAAAAAAAGTAGCGTGTAGACTGCCATCTCAAATTCAGGTGAAGTTCCAACAAAAGTTGAACTAAAAGGTTTATGTTTTCCTTGATAATTGAACCGAATCGTGATTAAGTGTGAAGTTGGATCTGGCTTTTTTTAAAAGGGGGAGGAGAAGGGTTTTTGAATAAATTTAGATTAGAATAATAATACTAAAGAAAAATTTAAATCATGATTATGATTATGATTACGATTATGATTGATTACCTTATGAAGACGTTTATTAGAGTTGTTTAAAGGAACAAAACCTTCATAATCAATTTTACCAGATCTTTCATAAAAATATAAGGTGATCCAATTATGAAATCCTTTAGCTTCATTATTTCTAATCTCACCAACAAATACATGTTCAAATGCACTAGAATCTTTTGCACCGCCTTCTCTAGTATATAAATCAAACCATAGATGATTAATTTTATTTTCAAAACTTAATCTATCACCTGGAAATACACCTAGAGCTTTCAAATACTAAACATATTTACAAAAATTAAAATTAATAAAAAATTTAGAATTTCAATTATTAAATCACACACACACACACACACACACACATTCTTCTTTTTTTTTTTTTTTTAATTATTTTATTATTTTATATACCTTGTAAACATAAATCATAGGAGCAGTTTGCATACATGCTTTAATGAATTGTTCGTTTTCTTTTAATTCTAATACATCGACTTTTTCTGGTATTCCAGTTTCTGGAATGTAATTGTCAAGCAAAAGATAGAAAAGATTGTAGGTTGGGATTTTTTTTGCACGATCTGTGACGAATTGAAAAAGTTTTTCTGGTGTGTTGTCACCTTTTGATTAATCGAGAAAATCGAATGATTGAGTGAGTGATTGATTTGATTTTGATTTTGATTGATTGATTGATTGATTTGAATGATAAAAATTATCGACGAATAATAATTATAAAAATACCTTTGCGTTCAACTATGGGTAGATTAACAGCATACTTTACATACACAAGTATATGTATATATGTAAATATGTATAAAATATACAAGTATGCATAAATATATCAGTTATATTAATATATAATATAAAAACTTTACATCAATTTCAGGTTTCATTCGATTATAATCTAAAGCCCAAATTTTTTGTAAAGCAAGAGCGATATCTTTTAATTCACTGTCAGACGGTTCGATAACTTCAAGTTTAGACATTATTATTTTTTTTCGTAATAAAAATCAAAAAAATGTAATATAAAAAATGAGAAATTTTCTGACTTGCTACTACTATTCATTCATTACATATTTATCTCATTCTCTATTCACTTTGATCCGAATGCAGATCTCGTGCAACACCCAAATAAAGAAAGGCATTTGTTTACAAATTTTTTTTTTGATATTTCTATAATAATCGAAAATTTCTGTTTTTTGAACTACCATAGAAACGAATCATAATTTCCAAATTTATAATTATAACAATTTACAGTATTCCACCACCCCCCCCTCCCCTTGTTAACTATATCCGTCAGTCAGTCATCGATCAAAAAAAGAACGAAATGTTTCAAAATTTAACGGGCTAACGCTAGAGTTATCGTCAGCGAAATTATCAATTATAAAAATGGGTAATTTTTGTTATTTAAAAACGGCAAGGGAAATTTACAAATGTTAAATTATAATATTACATGCATCAATATAAAATTTACATTTATGTTTATAAAATAAAATTTGATACACCATCGGCCGTCTATTTTATGTAAAATAGCTGGTAGCCAGCGTCTGTGCTGCATAAAAAGTTGTATTTATAATATATATATATATACATATACAATGATGTTTTAGTGAATGAATATTTGGGTAGCGAGCATGAAAAACTTGAGGGTGTTTCCGAGTTGAATAAGGATGATTGATAATCGCTTAAAATTATATTATTAATGGTCGATATATGGCTGACCAATTTGTAAATATGCGATACATAGATAATTTATTAACTTACCAATAACAATCAATTTACCAAGAGCGCAGCGAAAAATATCGTGATTATTTTATTATGATAATTCGTCAGTGAATTGGTATTGAAAGATGCGTTGAATCCAAACAAAAAAAAAAATTTTTTTTTTTCATATTTGGAACAGCAGGGATATTTATAGCAAACTATTTATAAAAAAAAAAAAAAAATTATAGATTTTAAAGACAGGTGACGACAAATATAATTATTATGGTTGAAGGAGTGGTAGACGGTAGAAGTAACTAAATTTAGTTGTTAAAGGAGCAAACCAATTATTCCAATTATTATTTGGCGTAGATAGGTTTTAGGCACATGCTAATTTTAGCATCAAACGTTAAGACAGATTAAACCAATTACGATGATAAAAACAAATCATGAAATCAATGGACTATATATAAAATTTATAAATTACAAAATTTTTGGTTTTTTTTTTTTTTAAATAAATTAATTATGAATGATGAAAATTAATTTTTACGAGAACGTTATTATCAATATTTTTATCATATCATTCAACTCAAATTTCCCACGAGTTTTGGAAAATATTTAATCAAACCTTGTAAGTTGTATGAAATGTACACACACTAATTGATGGATGGATGAGTGAGTGATGTGTAAAGGTGCAAAAGAAGAGCTTGAAGATTCTTGGTTGGTTGGTTGGTTGGTTACTTTATTCTTTAGACATAATAAATATTGAATGAAATGGGAGAGAATCCTTTGCGCGCGATTTTCAAATAAATACCAAATATTATAAATATCATTCAGCATTAATGAATAAATACGATACGATGGTAAATTTTATTAATAAAGTTACACTGAATAAATACACGTTATAATAATTGGTTACATTTGTTGTTTGTGAATTTAAAAAAAAGGATTGATTGGTGCAAGAAAAAAATTCAAAATGAAATTAAAGTTGTATTATATATATATATACAGAGCAAACAAACACACGCACAAAAAGAGAAAAAATTAAATTTCTTAAAATTTAAAATAAAAATTCTGATCGTATGAACCGAATCCAGCGAACAAATAACTGTATAAAATCGTTCACCACATATCAAAAGACCCTAGCAAATTATTTAAAAAAGTTACACGACATAGTTTAAGCCATGATTTATAAAAAAAACAACAAAAGGATGGTGGATCAATGATCCAATCAATTAAACAAACCTCAAACATTTAATTTTTTCAATTTTCCTTTATTTCCCTCGCTTTTTTTTCACTCTTATATATGTATATGTATATATATATATATAAAATAATACATTAAATTTTTTTTTACTTAAAAAAAATAATAAATAAATAAAATTTTCTTATTATGACAGTTGCCACAACTACAACTACAACCACTACAACAACCACCACTTTATCACGTCTACCTTCTTCACGACTTAACTTTAACGTTACAAACAACAACAACAACAACAACAACAAAACCAGTAATAATAATGTCACAAAAGACAATGTCAACGATAGCGGTAAAGTTATTAATAGTAATGATTTAAATTGTCAGGCCAATGATAATGATGATGATAATGATGATAATGATGATAACGCAAACGGAAAACAGCAACAACAACAACAACAACGACCAATACAAAGAAATGCGATGATTCCAAAATTACAGCAACCAAAAACAAAAAACAAATCTAATCTTATATCATATTCTTCGACTACTTCCATATCCACTTCCACTTCTTCCACTTTGATCTCGAATAATAATAATAATAACAATAACAATAATAATAATGCTACTGCTACTAATAACAGTAATGCCATATCTAAAATCATTGCACCTACTAACAACAACAACAATAACAGTAACGGCAAGAAATTTATTACAAAACCGCGTTCTTATTCCTCCTCTTCTGTATCATCATTATCATCTCTCCATCATCAACATTTCTCCTCATTTTTGAAAAAGAACAATGATAATAAAAATATCAACGAAGAAGTGATTGAAAATAACAACAACAGCATTAATGAAGAAGATGATGGTGACGAGAAAGACAAAAAGAAAATCACAATGATAAATTCTTTACTACCATCATCGTCAGGCACATCGGTTAAATCATTAAAAAAAAATAATTCGCTTAATTACCCGAATCCGGTCACTAACAGTAATAGTAACATTAGAACAATTAATGGTGGTAAGGAATCATCTAAAATTTTTTTTAAACCAATAAATCAAACAATTAGGTCATCCAACAACAATACCACATCATCATTACCATCACCGTTACCATCACCATCTTTACCCAATTCTATTTCAACATCTCCAACACCATCCATTGCTTCGACCACATCATCGTCATCGTCATCTTCCATTAACACTTATAGCAATAATGTTAAGAAAAACATGACAAAAACTCAATTACTCATCGAACTCGAACAATTATGTAAAAATCATAATAAAATAATCAATGAAAATGAAAAACTTCGTGGAGAAAATAATAAACTCGTAAAAGGGATAGAACAGGTTCGCGGTGAAAACAACAAACTTTTTGACGAGAATGAAAAACTTTCCGAGGAAAATAACAAGTTTGCCAATGACGTGGAGCAATTAAGGGCAGAAAGAAACAAATTGGACAATGATAAATGTTCATTATTAGTTGATATTTGTCAAATGGAGCACAGATTAGCATGCGAAGAGTTACGTGTTAACGAATTGGAAGAGGAGTTGACAGATGTGAGAAGACAATATAGCTTGTTGAATGTCGAACATGAAGAACTGGATCGTGATCGTACTCAATATCGAGAACAATGTAATTTATTGAACATTGAACGCGAAGAGTTGGATCGTGACCGTGCTCGTTATCGCGACGAATTAGAATTGGCGAATGTTAAAGTAGCGGAACAAGAAGAGCTTATATCAAAGCAAAAGTCCATCGTTGAGGGATTAACGACGAGCTTAGAAGATAAAGAAGAAACCAACAAGAAGCTTCAAAAGATCATTGATGAAAAGGATGAAGCGATGATGAGAATGGCGGAGGAAAATGCGGCAGTTAATGACGACAAGAAAGGAGAAGGAGAAGAGAAGGTGGTGATGACTAATGATGGTGATAAAGATGATGACAAAAATGGTAATAATGAAAAGAAAGATAACGATAAAAAAGCAAATAGTAAAAATGAGAATAATAATAAAAAGAATATGGAGGAAAAGAAAAAGAAGGATGTTAAGAAAGATGTTGTAAAGAAGAATGAGAAGAAAAATGACAAGAGGAATGAAAAGAAGAATGAAAAGAAAGAAGAAAAGAAGAAATTGGATGATAAAAAGGAAGCTGATAAGAAAGGAGACAAGAAAGGAGAAGATTGTGTGAATGCAAGAGGAGGAAAAGGTGGATGGAAGATGAGTGTGAAAAAAACTGAAAGAAAAGTTGAAAGTAAGAAATGAAAAAGAAGAAAAAGCAATGATTTGATTATTATTAGTAGTAGTATTAGTAGTATTATTATTATTGTTATTGTCATTATTACTATTTATTCTTTTATTATTATTATTATTATTATTATTATTATTATTACTACTATTACTATTATTATTTTTTTTTTTTTGATTATTATTATCAGTTCAAGTAATAATAATAATAAAGTACATATTAAATTTTTTATTTATAATTAAATAAATTTTGTGAATATATTTATTAATATATATAATTAATACGATATCAAGATACGTTATACAAATCAAATATCGCGTAAAATAATAAATTTTAGAAATGGATGGTCAAAGCAATGACGACATCAGAGTAAAGAAGAATAAATTTTTTTTTTAAAAAAAGATAAAAATAAAGTTTTGTGATGGACATTGCATGTATGTGCGTGGGTGTATATCAGATATCAAATAAGTGGTTGTAGAAGTTACACGGATAAATCAAATAAAATATTTGCGCTCGGAAAACAAAGAACAATAGCCAAAACAACAATTCATATACAAAAAAAGTAAGATAATTTGCAAAATAAACAAGATTAAAGAAGAACAATATAATAAAATACGTGTAACAATTTCCTGTTCCAAGAAGAATAGTAAGTGTAAGTAATAACTTTAAAAAAAATATGTTTAAGTTTTTAAAATTATTATTAAGTTTTTTTTTCTTTTCAATTTATTACCGAGAAACCCTTCTTCTTCCCTCATTCCGTCCCTTGTTCTTTCCTTCTTTCCTTCCAATCATTTTCCAGCCAGCTTTCTAAAAATAATACACAGACAGACAACAACTTGTAATTTTTTAACTCCTAAAAAATAAAAAAATCCAATGATGGGCCCTTACGGACTGGCATCCTGTCGTTCTGTTTATTTTGCTTGTAAAACCAACGTGGCTTTTGTTAAATCAATCTAATAAAAAAAAAATGGTTAAAACTATTGCATAAATTTGATCGTAATCTATACCTTAATTAATTAGTCGATTAATATACTGGATATTTTCTCCATAAAGTCAATAATCATCAATACATTACATAAATTACATATAACATAATAATAAATACACAAATCCATACATAAAATAACAAAACAACTTGATTTAAATCTTGAATTTTTTTACACATAAATAATAAACCATTCCTTAATAAATTTAATAAACAGAAAAAACTCGATATTTAAAGAAAGATGTATGTATGATGTATTAGAAATTGATTATAGACAGATTAAAGTAGTTTATAAAGATTAAATTGGAAAGTGAGCGGATCTGCTTAACCAATTATACACTAACATCAAAATTACAATGAATGAATGAATGAATGAATGTTATAATTTTGACATTTTATGTTTATTATTATTATTTGTGAAAATAACAACAGCGATAACCATTAAAATATATTAATTTTTTTTAAGTTTTATTTACTTTTATTTATTCTAAATAACGCCAAACAATTTTGTTATTATTTATTTATTTATTTATTTAATGTAAATATTGTCACGTATTTATAAATATTATGTACATTTATCACTAGAGCTCTGGAAAAAAAAAAGATTAATACTACTGATTTCAGATTCATTCATGATAGGGGAAGGAACAAAGGAAGGGGAGGCGAAGAAGGTGAAGAAGGGATGAGGTGAGGAGGAGGGGACGAGGAGGGGATGATGATAATGGTGATGATAATGATGATAATGATGATGATGGTGATTATGAGGAAGGAGAAAGGAAGATGAAAAGGTAATTAATTAGCAACATGAGAACAATCGCAATTTTTTAAGTCGGAAGAATTGGGACTGAAATTGGAATTGTTACTATAATAATCGTTATTTACTAAAAAAAATGAATTTAATAAGTACAGTATATACATATGTATCATACATATGTATATTATAGGAAAACTTCTTGACCAATTAAATCAAGTTGAATATATAAACAATATGTCATTTTTTTTGATTGACTTTTTTCCCCCAAATCTTGTTATAATTCAATAACCCATAAATGTGCCAATTCATCCCTTCTTTCATCATCGAATATCTAAAAAATAACGACGATAACAACAACAACAACAACAAAACAACATTCATTCTCATTCATCCTATAGTATTTTGCGCATTCATTCATTCATTCATTCATTTATACAACAAACACATCAAAACATGACATTTTGCCGAACGATATTAATTTAATAAGGCACATGCATACATATAATAATATAATACATAATATATATATATGATATGTAATATATACATTTTAAATTGTCTGTTAAAATAGAAAATGTGATTTTATTGTGTAACATAAACAATTCCCAGACTGGATTTATTTCAAAAAAAATTATTTTAAACAAACAAATCAAAATAAAAAATACCCTCTAGCTTATTATATTGGGAATAGTGTGTATATGGGAATTATTATAGTTTTAAACTCTCCGCAAAATTTCATTACAAGCAAGCATATTTATTTATTTTTAAAGTTAATTAATTAAATATCAGAGTTGTGTCGGACCATCAATTTATTTATTTTTATTATGACAGTTTCAACCAAATCAGGAAATGTAAAGGCACAATTTTCTATTTATCCCATTTCTATTATATCATCGTTGGGATTTATTGTTATTATTATTATTATCACTATTATTATTATACGGCAGAGTAATTAATAAAAATCTCAAAAATATAAATATAGCAATTAAATCAATTGTAAAAAAGAAAAAAATTATTTTCTTTTTTTAACTTTTTTCTCTTCTATTTCTGTCTATCTGTTTCTTCTATTTCTGGTTCTCTCTTCTCTCTCACTCGCTCCTCTCTCTCTCTCTCTCTCTATCTCTCTCGCTCTCAACATCACAATTGAAAAAAAAAAAAAACCAATAAATAAATAATTTGGAAAGTTTTTGAAAAATTTTTCAAATCAAAGCAAAAAAATTTATTATATTCTCATATAGCAGACTGATAGATAGATATAGATAGTATATATATTAATATTATTATTATAATTAATTATTACTATTTATTATTATATTACAAGGTAATTAATCATTTTTCTTTTAATGTTTTTTTTTATCATTCATACATTCATTGCCCTTCCCTTTAATTAATTAATATCCTTCACACAATAAATAATAATTATTCTATTGTTTTTCTTTGTTATCTCTTTTATTTAGCAAAAAAAATTGAGGTCAGCAGACCAATAACAGTATCCTTCGGTATTTGACGGCGATTATTCGGTAAATACTAATAATATTTATTACAATAACTAATAATAAATTATTAAGTGTGTTGTGTGTCTTACACATATGTATATTTAAAAAATCCCCATCATCAAATTATTTTTATTTTATTTTTAAAATTAAAATTAAAACATCCCGCCAAATTATTTCAATATATAAAGGGTAATTATCATTATTTTAAATTACTTAAATTAATTAAATTACTTGATTGAAAAATAAAAAAACACAAATAATAATAATAAAAAAAAAACCACACACACACACCAACTAATTACAAGAAAAAAAGGAGGTGATCTTAGTGGTCGGTTTTTTTTAAGGTTCATTTTTTTCATTTTTTATTTTTTCTTTCACCATTTTTTTCTCTCACTCAATTCCACTTTACCTTTTCATATACTTTCTCCTCCTCCTCCTCCTTCCATACACACACACACACACACATACGCACAATTTCCCTATATTTCAACATTTATACAACTTTACAGTAGTTTTTCCTAAAATAATAGTAAACACACAAATAAACAAATAAGAAAAAAGAAAAAAGAAAAAAATCAAACCTTCTTCATTTCTTCATTTCAATCGTCGTTAACATTTATTTATTTTTTTTTTAATATATTTCGTTCCTTTTTCACTTTTAATTGTTAATAACCTTTTTACATTCTTTAAATCATAAAATAAAAATAGAAAAAAAGAGACATTATATTAAATAATATATAAATATATATAACTATATTAAATATTATTTATTTTAGAAAATAACGAACTTTTATTTTTTTATGTATATTTTTTGAATTATTATTATTATTATTAATTTTATTTTTTTAATATTTACCTTTTTTTTAATTTTAAAACATTTTTTTTTTAATCATATTTACATACACACACACACATTTTACACATTTTAAATATAATCATATATATAATATCATCAATCATTCAACTAATATCAATTATTCTAATATAATAACAATATAGATATCAAATAATACAATATTTAAGCTTTGAAAAAGGTAAGGAAAAATTAAATAATGTTTTTCTTTGACTTTCAATTTCTTTCTTCTCGAGGGGTTTAAATATGAGATTAGTGAATGCGTATATACATACATATACACACACGCACGCGCACACACACACGCACATAAGCAGACGGGTATATGCATCAGCATATATTCACGTACACATACATATTTGGGATTATTTTATTTCCAGTCTGTTAGATCTTTTACATAGATTGTTAGATCGGTAAATGGATGATGGATGGGAGACATGATATATGATATACAATTATAGTAATGGATCGTAGTCACAAATATAGTTCTATAGTAAAACGGTTTTTTCAAAAAAAAAAAAAACAATACAAATTCTTCAACATATTATCATCAGTCTTCATACAAATACTTAATCATGCCGATCATTTGTCGATTATTATATGCACATGTTTATCATTCAACCACTACATGTACATATTTGTTTCAATTATTTATTAATTAATTTAATTTATTAATTTAGAAAAAATATGTATATGCACACATATATATGTCCTCATTATATCATGAAAATTCAAAAACAAAAAAAAAACCTGTAATCAAATTTCTTTTTGCTTGGAAAGGAAGAAAGAATTCTTTTTTCATGTGGAATTCATTCAAAAATTTTTTTCCGTGCAGGATAATTTGGATAACGTATAGAAGACAGCAATTACCAAATTTTCATTCATTATAATAATATTATTAATATTTAATTACAAATGATGAATTGACTCTCTCTTTATAAATACAATTGATTTATTTCTCCTTATTACAAAAAAAAAAAAAAAAAAAAAATCAAATTAATTTTCCAACTAAAAAAATTTTAGTTTGAAAAAAAAAAACCTCCTCGAGAAGAAAAATTTTTTTTTTTTATTTTTATTATTTATTTTTTGTATATATCATCAATCAATCAATCAATCAATCAATCAATTTATTTATTAACCAAATTTCTATTCTCTCTAAAAATCACACTTTTACTTTTTTTATAAAAAAAAAAAAACACAATGTCTGAAAAAAAAACCATCAACAAAAACAAAATCATCAACAAAATCAATAAAATCAAAACCAAACCTGAACCAAAATCTGCATCCAAATCTGCATCCAAATCTGTAACTAAAATCGAAAAAATTGATGTCAACAGTGGTGATTTAATTTCATCAAAAGATAACGACAATTCATCGCCAACAACTGTCACAAATATAGAAAATTTACTAGTTGATCAAGAAAATCAACAACAACAACAACAACAACAACAAGAAAATAAAGGAGAAGACCAATTATTATTATCATCATCACAAGAAAAGCAATCATCTTCTACAGAGTCATTACAAAAAAAATCAAAACTTGAAATTTCTACTTCTTTAATTCCAATTTCATCATCAGAAGAAGAAGAAGAAGAAGAATCTAATATTGCAACTTTTGAAACTGAAACTATCTTATTATCACCAAATTCCTACAGTAATCATCCACCTTCTTCTCCTTTATCACCTGAAAACTTGTTATTAGATCACGGACCTGATAGTATAATTAAATCTTTAGAAAATCAAGCTGATCTTTTCTTTAATAACAACGAAGGAGATAACGATAGTATTAATACATTAGACTTAACTAAAGAAGTAAACATAGAACAAGATAATCAAGTCGATTCCACTACCATTACCCCCATCGCTAACATTAACACCCCCATAAACACTAACACTATCGCTACAAATATTATTAATAACGGTTTGAAATCATCATCAACTTATAATAACAATTATTGTAATTATTGCAATCGTAGCCTTTTATCACCACCTACAATGGCACAAAATTTAGAATATTCTATTGTACACGCTACCGGTTGGGATGAAAATTATCCTCCACAACAACTTTTACCTAAAAGTAAAAATATAACAACAACTAATAATAAAAGTACCGATAATAATGACAACAACAATAACAACAATAATAACAATAATACCAATACTGAAGTTGGCATAAAACATGGAAGAGGATGGCAATCTGAAAAGTAATTATTAAGAAAAATTTGAATTTTTATTTATTTTTTATTTTATACATACAAATTTGATCAATTAATATCCAACTAATTATTTTTTGCCCCCCCCCCAAAAATAATAAAGATTTTGTTCATATCCCCAAGAAATAATACTACAGGTAACGTGTGGCCCCGCAAGAATCCGTAAACTTCAAATTCTTTCACATCATTATAAAATTGCCTCAAAATTAGAGATTTATGTTGGCACAGTACAAAGACGTAAAGAAGTAGTGGGGGGTATGACAAATAATATCAATAACAATGATGATCCTGCTGATGTAAAACGTACAATATCGTGGGATAAAATGCCAAAAATAATAGAAAATGATGGAATGTGCTCGGACGATGAGAGTGGCGAGGATGTACAAGATGATGACTTTGTCATCACCGCCGCCACCAATCACAACGATACTAATTACGATCTAATTAAAATGAATGGTGAACCGTATATTCATTTCAAGAGATTAGGTTATTGTGCATTAGACAGTAACGAGAGAGCAAATTACAAAGCCAGAGAATTTAAATCGGTTAGACTTGACGTTGATGGTGAATATATTAGATTGGTGGCTCGTAAATGCTATACAAATCATTTGAATCAATATAATCAAGTTGGTATTGTCGGTATAACAGTTATGGGCGAACCAGCTAATTACTTGCTTGTAGGCGAAAGTACAAAAATCCCAATAGAGGTTAGTGGTGGCAAAAATCGCATAAACATTATAACATGTGACAATTTGATAATTTTATTTAATTTTATTATTATTCCCCCTCCACCTAATTTAATAGAACGCTGATGATGGATTATCAAGAGTTGCATCACCTGAAATTTGTATTGTACCGATTATTCAAGAACGCTGTTATCAACCACACGATCAAAGAAATTTTGGTTCATTATATTCTTTGTTACAAGGTAATAATAACGACACTCGTGAATCTTTAAATCCATCAACTTCAAGTCTTGTCATCGATAATATTATAAATACTTCAATCTCATTATTAAAAGATTCCTCCTCCTCCTCCTCCTCTTCATCATCATGTTCTGATCAATCAATATCAACAACCGATACTTCAATATCAACACTATCGACTGTATCAACAACAAATGAAAGCAAAGAACAACCAGAAATTTCCACCGTAAAAAGAAAGTTAAAAGACTATCTTACGGCAAACGACTTTCTACAAAATCAAAACGAGACAGCACGACTATTATTGGCATTTGATAATGCAAAAAAAAATGCCGTGATAGTGGAAGATTTCCCTTTGGCAAAAGTGTTAAAGTATTCGGTTGAGCTGATGAAACGTGGCGTCGAGGAAGTTGCTAAACTTGATGTTTTAAAACATGAGGCGGTTGTAGTGGAAGATTTTGATAATGCTGACAAGTATAAACGAGAGATTGAAGCTGTTAGAGACGAGATACGCACCGCGTTATCAGATGAAGGATTAGATATAGACGATCAAGACGAGGTTATGGTTTATGATCCTCAACTTGATCCCCAATTACAAGATATAATAGGTTTAGCTGATGATAACAGCTACAACGACAACAACAATAATAATTCTTCTGATCAATATAACAATAATAATAATGTACAGTCGATGACCATGAATCAAAATCATTATCATTCATCATGGATGTTAAAACAACAATCAAACCTACAACAACAACTTCAAATCACCGATTATATAGAAGAAGAACCTGAAGAATTATCAAATTTAGCTAGATCGGCTTTTACTCTGTCAATACAATTTTTCGGTGACTTTCTTATCGCCAGTTTGTTATCAAAGAAAATCAAATTACGCGAATTGGCATTAAATGAAATAAGAAAAAGAATTGATTATTCTATTTCCAGTGACGACAATAATGATCCTAGCAATGACAATGCTGAAGATGTGGTGGCTGACAAATTAGCTTTGATCAAAGCAAGTTATCAAGTTATACAAGAAGGTCTAAACGACCACCAAGAAAAATTATTGACCTTGACATTGTCACTTTGGCAATCAACCATCAACTACTCAATCTATAATCAAATTCCAATTTCTTCAACTTATAAAATGGTAGAACAAACTTACCCATCATTATTTACCAAGATCACCGAATCAGATACAACAACCGACGTAACCGCATCACCATCAAAAATAAAGCAAGTATCAATGGATCTATTGATACTGTTAATTAAAACTTATCAAAATTCAAATCATTCATTAATGGAAAACTTGATCCTGAAACCGGCAAAAACTCCATCACAACCATCTAAACAAGCGAAAGCGAAAATTGAAATTGTCATGCAACTAATTGATGAGTTTGGTGTCTCAATGTTAACCAAAGAAAAATTAAAACTTCATCATAAACATCAACAACAATCGGTGAAGATGGGTTATGAATATTTGATGGAATTGTCATTATCTTATCTAAATAATAATAATGCTGATGCTAGAGAAATGGCCGTTAAATTGGTATTTGAAGTGGTTAAACGCGTTGGTAAACAATTGATCGAACCGTATTTCGCTAACAATAGGAATGTTAAATATCCAAATTTGATCAATGATATTTGGAAATTGGTAACAGAACACGAAACAGTTAATGGCGAAATAATCCAAAGAGCTCCAACACCTGATCCAATAATTACAAAACCTAAAAATGATGAAGATAAAGAAGCCAGCAAAGCCATTGCCGATCCAACTGCACCACTTTCAATTTCACCAAAACCCGAACTAGTAGATGCTGAAGTACTCGAATTGACAGAAGAAGAGTTAAGAGAATTGGAAGAATTAGAAAGATTGGAGAACTTCGAAATCGATCAATCTTTACTTTCAAAACCATTGGCTAAACGCGGCACTGTCACCAGGATAGAACAACAACTCATGGAATTAAGATCAATGGCGAATAATACAAATAATATTATTAATGAAGATTACGATAGTTATCTTGCCAATTCTATGAAACAACCTTATCATCAAGATGAGGAAGTAGTAGAAGAAGAAGAGGAGGAAGAAGATGTCAAAAGTCAAGCCGCATCAAATAAACCATCACCGCCATCATCCAAGAAATCTAGCAATTCTAGTCGTAATGCAACAAAACCATCGTCATCCAACAGCACCGCATCATCTAATAAATCCAAAAAATCAAATAATACCAGTAGTAATGCACCATCAACAAAGAAAACTTCAGCAGTTAAATCTAAAAGCAGTGTCTCTTCTGCCAACAATGCCAACAAGTCTGCATCAAGAAGAGGATCCACTGATGAAACTAAAGCTGGTCCTAAAGGAACTAAAAAATCATCAAGTAAAAATGCAGATGCTGAAAGTTTATCTAATGAAGCTGATAAAGAAGAGGATTATAGTGATAGGTAAGAAGAAAAAATTTTTGTTTTTTTTTTTTTTAAATATATAAAATAAACATTTTTATTAATTATATATAACGTTTGGGGTTCTTCATAGATGTTGTATATTTTGTGATGAACAAAATAATGATTTCACTGAAGAAAATTTAGTCATTCACTATTGGAATGAATGTCCTTTATTAACAAAATGTCATCTTTGTAATATTGTAAGTTTTCTTTTCTTTTTTCTTTTCTTTTTTTTTTTTAAAAAAAAAATAATACTTAAACAATATTTGTTTTTATATTTTTTATAATAATACGTTAGATTTTGGAAATTTCAACATTAGATGAACACATGTTAAAGGATTGTGACAAGAGTAAATTCGTCAAACAATGTCAAAGATGTCGTGAAATAATAGAAGCTGACGATTACTTGGAACATATAGCTAAACAATCATGTATGACAATTAGACCTGATATTGTTAGATGTCCTCTGTGTAAAACAGTGATCAAACCTGCTACTGAAGCTGGTTGGAAAGCTCATTTATTAGATGTTAATGGTTGTCCAAGAAATCGTAGAAAAATAAAATCCGATGGTGAACATAACGATGGTGATTGTGGTGCTGTTGCTACTACAAACACCAATACTGCTACTAAAGAATCTCCATCACCAATTAAAAAACGTTCAAAGGCTACTACTGGTGATTCACCAAAATCTGCGGCTACTAAAAGTAGTGGATCTACCACTAGTCGTAAAACCACTGGTGCTGCTGCTACCACCACTACAGGAAAGACTAAAAAAACAACATCATCTTCAACAACAAAAGTTTCAAGGGTCAAGAAATAAGTAAAATAATTTTTATTTAAGGACATTTTATATTTTAAAAAAAAAAAAAATGGAGTTATCGGGAAAAAAAAAAAAACTTTTTTTGGTTTTAAAATATTTTTCATGATCAAACATTTTTTCTCTTCTATATATTTTATATATGTCGTATTCTCCTTTTTTTTTTAAATAAAAAAAATTTATTTATTATCAAAATATATAATTCTCAACTATACAATCTATTATTTTATTGTCATCACTCTCCCAAATATTAATTTACAATATCAGACATTGATAATGCTAGCGTTGCTATTGTAAATTCGACGACTCAATTAAATCCTCCTTAGATGATTTTTTCACATGACTAGAAGTTCCAATTTATTTTGTAAAATTTTGGTACTAATGAATTTACATATGGTAAATATATTAATGGATAGTAATAATTAATATTATTAAAATATAAGACAGATTTACGTCAGGACGATCAAAGAGGGAATTACTCACCAACGGCTTCTCTTGCAATTAATTGCTCCGGTAGTTTTTTATCTGCCATGAATAAACAACCTTTATATTTTCAATATCTATATTATTTATATATATATATATATAAATTAAATATATTTCTCTTGGTTGAATCAAAATAGATATATAAAACGTTACTTATCTTTTTTCCTTGAATGGAATATCTTTGTCCCCGATATTGTATATTACAATCAAGATTGATGATATAACAAATAATTGCATCACCTTGGCAAAATAAAACCAAGACCATGCATAAATGGAACTTTAAAGTTTGGATCAACCATTATTTATGATATCCCGCCATTAATTTCTTGCGGGGAAAGCGATATCGCTTGTATATTTAAAATGATATGAATGGATGACCATGTTCTAACCCGTGATTTGCCGCTTGTGCCGTTTTTTATTTTCAAACTTCAAAGAACCAAATGAACCGAATGGATCAAAAATATTAATGAACCAAATATGAAAGGAATCAATCGATTAGGTTAACGTTAATTAAATTGTGTTTTTAACCTAACAAATTTATATATAATAAAATTATTATATATAGAGCCAGACTATCCTAAACACTGTATGTTTAACACCAAAATGCCCACGCAGATGTATATACATAAATTCTCAACCAATTTCCCCAACATCAAATTGCTTCGACTTGAGGTGTCTGAGGCGCTTTCCTTTTATGCAGACATCAATTTCGACTTTATTGTATTATCTGTGGGTATACATGGGATGGATTTATTATATACTCTTCGTATTTCATTAATGAATACTCTTCGTATTTCACTGCGATCCTGAATAAAGTAAAGTCCAAACTTCTCGAATCTATGAAGGGTATTTGTCTTTACAACAACCAGGACTAGTGGTACCTTTTGCAATCCTGGACTTTCTCATAAACCTCAAAGAATGAACCGTCAAGTTAACTACTTGTATCAATACTTAGACTTTTTCGAAATTATGTGGGGTAATTGTACTACTATTATTCGTATCAACCAGGGATAAGTTCCACCCATTAACACCCTGGACTTTTTCATAAAATCTCCAAAGAATAAATAATTAATACAAGTAACTTGTGTCGTAAATAAAAGGATGAACCGTTCAAGGTGAATGTCTACTCGTGCCAGTACTAATAGATAGACCTCTTCGAAATTATGTGGGGTAATTGTACTACTATTATTCGTATCAACCAGAGATAAGTTCCACCCATTAACACTCTGGACTTTTTCATAAAATCTCCAAGGAATATCTAAATAGTACAAAAATGTATATGTATAAAATAAATAAATAAAGGACGATTTGAACGTTTTTAACGTTCTTGAAATTTTTTGAATGTTGTGAAATTTTTTGAATGTTTTGAACGGTTTTGAAATTTTTTGAAATTTTTTAACGTTTTTTTGAAATTTTTGAAAAAATAAAGAATGTTTTGAAATTTTTTGAAAAAAATTATGGGAATGTTTTGAATTTTTTAAAAAAAAATGGATTTTTGATGGCGTACTACACAATTTTCTGATAATTTTTCTAATATTATTATAATATATATATATATAGTATACTTCCTCTTCCTAATATGGAAATTATCCTTGAGATTCAAACAATCTGTAAAATTCAGTTATTGTCTGTCCAGGTGGCCTTTTGTAATTGGACATCCTTATAATATCATGATCAATTCAAAAAATCTATCACATGACAAAATAGAAAAACACATTCTGTCTATCTATATACATTCCATTCCCTATCTATAATGGGCCTTTCTACAACAATCACCAAGTAAAAGCCCACCACAACAAACTTATTGCTAATTTCTCTCCATAACGAACATTACCATAATGAGCAAAGGCACAACAAAAGACTTGTATGACGAGAAGGTTCATTGTAGGGAGTGACTGTATCTTTTTACATTGAAAAAACTAATTAATATCAAAAATGGATTAATATGGATATCAGCATGGCTATAAGTAGCAAAATACAGTGGTGTTGAAGAAAACCCAACTCAAACAATCACTTGTTGTATAATGCAAGTTATTCTGGACCACAGATACTAGGACGGACTAATTCTAAAATCAAATTCACGAACCTCAAGACAAGAGGCACTGAATCCAGAATGGACTATTCCAAAGATAAGATATAAATAAAAATTTTATTTTTTATTTTCTTTGATTGTTGTTTCAGGATCTGGATCCAAACATATGGTCCAAGAGTGAATGGTGTAAAGGCTGAATTGATTACGAAGAGGGGGAGAATAAATGTGAATTAATGGAAAAAATACAATAATAAAATTAAAGGTATGTATAAATATATAAGGCTCTCAACAAAGTCGAATTCAAAGCGATGCGAATTAAAAACTGGATTCGATTCAATTCAGATCAAACTGGATTTTTTAAATTGATATTATATCTTATTCAGTCAACAAATGTACTAACACACACGGAAAAACGTATTTTGATACGTAATGCATTAGAAAAACACATTGATATTAAGATGAAATGCATACGGAAAATGCACTTTCCCGTACTTGAAAATATGGAGCCATGCGGAACTGGAGCAGGATATTTTTGGTATGGAAAATGGAAAATAAAAAAGGAACATAACGTGAAAAACGTTCCAAGGAATTTTTGAAATTTTAAAGAACAATATCTCAAAATGTTACCATGCAGATTTGAATGGTTTCTACATAAGTTTACATGTAGGGGTGGCCAAAGTTGCCTTTTTTCACGTTATTGTCGTCCTCTATTGTCCAAGCACGAAAAAAATGCATTTTAATACAGAAAACACATAGAAACATCTACTCTTCACCGTTTCTACTACTTATTCACCATCTACTCCGTACATGATGTTTATAGGATGTGATGCATATGAAATTGCGTTTCAACGATTCATTGAAACAAGATTCGCCGAAATAAAGAATTTTCATTGGATTGACATGTATTAGGCGGTGTATATCGATCCAAATCAAAGCAAATCATGATTCATTGGATTAATTAAGTTTGAATTTCGTTGATTCTTGGTATATATAATAAATATTTGGATTTGAATTTGAATTTTCTTATTATTTGCCCTTTAGATTTTGTGTCAGGCCTCATTCACAAAGCCTAGTAGTGAATAATACACCATTCATCCAATTTTGGAACAAAAAACGATATCCGAAGCGAGCTAACGATGATTCATAGAATAATATATGTAGGTAAATAGGATATTTATTATTATTTTTCTTAGAATGTGCCATCGCTTTAAGTTGGGCCGATATCTTCGCGAAAACAAAAATTTGGAAAGCATGATGAAAGTAAACACATGTCTGGACAGGCAAACAACTTCTCGTAACCTATTTAACGAATAAATTTGTTTCCGAAACAATAATAGAAAATTGGATAAAAAAGAATCAGCTGAAAAAGGACAAACTAATAAATATGCTTCACTGTCTTGGAAGATTTAATATTGCTCTCTCTCTCGGAAGACTACAGTAGATTATTACAATGACATCTAAATATGCACACAAACAGACTCAGTCCCGCGAAACATCCACCGGGTCTCTAGAATTGCATGAAATAGCCCTAGCTTGGGCAGTGAGATCCTGATTAATTAATCTAATATGAATATGAATATAATAATAACTACAATAATAATACAAATAAAATATTAATATAATTACTGTAGTTGTCGACGCATTATTATTATTTATTACACGAGACCATTTTTTGGTCTAGTCAAACTCGTCGAAAAACCGAAAATTATATATGGTTCAACAAATCAAAAAACGCGACAAGTTCAATCAATTATATACACCTGCAAATAAAAAAAGGAAAAAAATTCATCGTTTTAAAAATTGTGTTCTTGATGCAGTCGTTGTTATGTTTGCTATTTATTATTATTATTACTATTGCTATTATTATTATTATATTATTATTAAATTTTACTACCAGATAGTCAATTGTTCGCAAAGCTACAACAAATAGTTATTGAAAAAAAAAACAAAGACTTTTTTCTTTTGGTTCTTTTATTGAGTCCGCCGTTAGAACATTTCAGACATATTTTGAAGAGGCAATAAAAACTAGTTACGACTTGAGGCAAAACCTTTTAACTTTCGCACAGTTTCGAAACTATAGTTTTGGAAACCAAAATTAATGACGAACATCGTCCAAAAAACGAAATGTATCTAGTGTATTTTAAATTTGTTTCGAATATATGCTGTACATAAAAACCTCACCCCTTGCTTTCATTAGTTGAAGATCAGATAGCCTTGGAGGTCGGCTTTACCACAGCTATTTGGATGATAATGATGATTTTTAAGAAATTTTACGGGGTTGATGTCAAGAAAAAGGTTTCAGATCAGTAATATCATACAGACTGTAGGTGGTTCGCTTTAGAAGATGGTTGTAAATATATATGTGTTAAATTATTAACAATCAAAACTGCTCGAGATTTGTTTTTAATTTTTTATAATGTTAAATTTCTCTCATTTGCTTTTTATTTAACATTAATACAATTGACCAAGGTTTTTTTTTGTTAATAACGATGATGGTACCATCAATAATAATAATAATAACAACAATGATAATGACAGCGACGATGATAACAATGACGACGACAATAATAGAAGCGGTAACTGCATTAACAGTAGTAGTGGTAGTGGCTATGAGCAACTACCATAAATCCCCTTCTATTCTTATGCACTGGCGTGTACACTAACAACACCCACAAAAAGGGTAATAAATTGGGATATGAGAGCATTGATTTGACGAGAAGGATCTACAACGGAGTCACCAAAACAAAAACCTCGAAACAAATATATTGGCATCGTATTCTATCAATACTAGGTAAAAAAATATTTTCTAGCATACAAACTATATATGAATGTTGACCTTACCTCCATGTAACCATCTCTGTCGATGAGGAAATATTTGCCGAAGGCCAAGCATATGTGGTATTGAACAGAGCAAGCTCCTTGGAAAACTTACGCATCCTGGAATTTGATTTTTCTCAGATAAAATGTTCAAAAAAGTGAGAGATTGAGAAAGTTAATCATGATAGATTGAAAATTTTAATGCAAAATCAACATATATATTTTTTTAATAAAGAAAAAAAATAGGCTTAATGGTACTCGTGACCTTTTTTCGGGGGGTAACTCTTACTGCAATGTCTTGTTATTATAGCTTTATTTATTATAATATTTTACATCGCCTTCAAATTCTTTTGTTTATAAACATATTTTAACAATGTCATTATACTAGCAGGTGTCATACCATCGATTCTTTTTGCTGCTCCCTATTAAATGCACAAATATCGAGAATAAGTAAGTTTTTTGAAAAAGAATCTTTTATTAAATAATTAAATTTGAAGAACTCACCAATGTTGTTGGTTTGATTAATTTGAGTTTAGATCTTGTTTCTATTGACAAATTATTTACTCTAAATATATATATATATATTTAAAAATGAATGGAAAATTTATAATTGGATTAGATTATAGATGAATAATATATATACATATGTACACACATACAAATCATAATCAAGATCCTCCGGTAAAAACACTTTTTCGTCTTTTTTAAATGCCAAAACTTCCGATTTTTGCTTTTCCAAATACGATCCATAAATAGCTATATTTTAAATAAACCAAAACAGCATAATTTCTTAATATATGCATTGTAAAATATTTTAGCGCCAATTAATAATTTTGTTGATTCCAACCTTCAATCAATAATCGTTGCTGAACAGATTTCTCAATTTCCGAAAGCCTTGGTATATACTTTTCAAGATAATCAATGGATACACCACGAGCCCCAATAATTTCTATGGCACTGAAAAACCAACTTTTATGATTAAATAATAATCATAAAACAAACACAATAACAATTTCCACCCAAAAAAAAGTACCTTCTAACCACACCATCAAAAGCCACATTAACACCGATTGTTTTCCATTTTTGTGGTGATAATAAAAATTGTTTTAATAACGTTGTTCCTTTTTCAAATTGTTCTTCAACCTCCTTGTATATTTTCCATCTATGCTCTGAAACACATCCTATTTCATATCCTAAACTCAAAACAAAAATCAGTCGTCACACAACAATAACTTCATTATCATCGATAATCACACTATATCTTATACATCATTCATTACCTTTACGCGTTAATCTCATGTCAGCATTATCAGCTCTTAATGACAAACGATATTCTGATCTTGCAGTGAAAATCCTATAAGGTTCTTCTACACCTCTTGTTATCAAATCATCTATTAGCACTCCTATATATGCATCAGATCTATCTAAAATAAATTCTGGTCGATTTTTAACTGAACAGCCTGCATTTAATCCGGCAATAATGCCCTATATAAAACAAACAATATAATGGAATTTATTTTCCCTTTTATTTTTCATTTCCTTTTAGTAAGTTTTTATCTTCAACATTCTTACAATATTAATGATAAATTTATTTTGATACCGTTACCTGTGCTGCTGCTTCTTCATATCCAGTAGTACCATTTATTTGCCCCGCTAAATATAATCCTTTTATACGATTAGTTTCTAATGTGGGTTTCAATTCTCTAGGATCTACATGGTCATATTCCACTCCATATCCTTATAAATAAACAAACAAACAATATTGTGAATTATAATAAACCATAATATATAGCACATCTAAATTTGCGTATTTATGCTACCAGGTCTTATCATTTTCACATTTTCTAATCCATTAATAGTTCTAAGCATTTCATGTTGAATATTTTCTGGTAAAGTTACCGATATTCCATTAGGATAAACAACATACGTATCAAGACCTAAACTTGTAAAAAAATTTTTTTTTTAATTGTAATATATAAATATATATTATTTTTTTCTCTCAAATTAATTAAATTTAAAAAAAACCTTCGGGTTCAAGCCAAATCATATGTGCTTGTTTTTCTTTAAATCTTATTACTTTTGATTCTATGGAAGGACAATACCTTTTTTTTTTTTTTTTAAATATATTATTGACAAGTCAATTAAGCATTTTTACCATAAATCAAATACCACATTTAATTAACCAATTATTACCTAGGACCTTTCACCGTCTCTCTTATATGAATTGTTTCTGAAAGGTTGTCATTAATTATTTTGTGTGTTTCTAGGTTTGTCTTTGTCTGATGACAAACAATTTGATTTTTCTAATAAAAATTTTCCCATTAATATCAATATCAATGTCAATATCATCATTATTATTGAAAGAAATTTAATTTAATATATTTTAACCTCATGAGGTACAGAAGTGTGAATATATGAAAATGGCGTGGCAGGAACATCTCCATATTGAGGGTTTAAATTTTTATAATCTATTGTTCTACCATCCAAACGAGGTGGAGTTCCTAATAATAACGATAACTATTATTATTATTATAAAAATGAATCCTTCGATAGTATTTTAATTCTAATTTTTAATTTTTTAATTTTCAAAATAACCTGTTTTAAGACGGCCAAGTTTAAACCCTGCAAGTTCTAATGTTTTTGAAAGCCCAAGAGACGGTGCTTCGTTATACCTTCCAGCTGGATATGCTGTCTTACCGATATGGATTTCTCCTTGAAGAAAAGTTCCTGTTGTAATTATAACTTTATGCGCGTTTATAATCTCACCTGATTCTAAGATAATAATAATGATTATGATGGTGGTAAGAAAAAGAAAACTTGTTTATTATATTTGCATATATATAACATGCCTAATTTAATTCCTTGTATCTCTCCATAAATATGACTTTGTTCTTTGTCATAAAAAATAACAAGATCATAAACACTAGCAGATAATACTTTTAAATTAGGATAATTAAATATACATTCTTGCATGTTTTTTTTATATAACTTCCTATCCATTTGTGCTCTAGGACCCTTTATTAAAAAAAAATAAATATAAAACTTGTATTTAGTGGGAAATCTTTTAACATAATTTGTTATTAATAAAATTTCTTGATATTTTACTTGTACTGCAGGTCCTTTTGATCTATTCAAAATTTGAAATTGAATTCCTGATAAATCTAAATATACATACATACATATATATATAACATCTTAAAAAAAAATTATTCAACTATTTTTTGAAAATTTTCTTTCTTTCTTTCTTACCAGATATTTTACCACACAATCCATCCAATGCGTCAATCTCTCTAACCAAAACACCTTTTCCAATTCCACCAAATGATGGATTACATGACATTTCACCAATTGTATCGAGTACTTGCGTCACCAACAATGTCTTTGCTCCTGTACGTGCAGCAGCAGCCGAAGCTTCGCAACCAGCATGACCTCCCCCAACTACTATAACATCATATTTTGGATATTCGGAAAGATTGTTTTCACAAATTGAAACATAATTCCTTGTTGTTGTTGCTGCTGCTTGTTTGAAAAATGATGATGGACTTGCTAAAGAATATAAGTGGTTGTTTATAATGGGTTTTTTTATTTTAAATAAAAAGTCAAATTTCCTCGAAAAATACATAATTTAAAAATAAAAAAATTGAGATAATCGGTGATCAACAAATTTGACAAAATCTTTGACAGAATCCTTCAAAAATATTATTTAAACCGTTAAATCCGCATAATATCAATTTAGCGATCGAGAAATTTCGTAAATTTGTAATCCAACCTCTTGCTATGATGTTTTTTAAATATACCGTGTGTGTATATATATATATATGCGATATTATTTTATGGAAAATCATTGTAAAATATATGTGAAATATATCTTGAAGGTCTCCTACGATTATTAAAAAGCTTTTTTCATAATGATGAATAGCAAATCAGACGAGCAAGAGATTAGTATGGTGAGACAACAAATGTAGTTATGAACACGATCTACTGACTAAGATAGAAATCGAAAAAATTATTTATTTCAAGAACTGGTTTTAGTATATAAAGTGACTCCTCAGTTTAATAGAAACGAGAAGTCACATTGAAAAACAATCAATCACTCAAAAAGTTTCTCCGTCATCACCAAGAACAAATGAAACAACGCATCAACGACTTCCATAAGAGTTTAAATAATTTGGTTGTCATAAGCTATAAAATGATATGTTTTTATCGTGCAAAAGCCGCGTCCAGCTTTTGTCCATGTAATGTATAATATTCTTCAGTATTAAAAAATTAATTCTAATTTAAATTCTATTCGAAAAAGTTTATCAAAAATAATGCGCGTATGTAGTTATTTATATTGTTAGTAATAATTTAATATTTTTTTCATCATTACATATTTTATTTTATTATATTTCTTCTGTTAGAGCTTTGAATGACTTTCTGAAGAAGATATGAGATGATTAAATATTAATATGTTAACGTATCAAATACGGTTTGCTTTACTATGTAAATTTATTATTAAAAATGAGAGATATTATCTACAATAAATATAATAAATGATTGATGTCATACGTTATTTATAATAATAAAAAGGCTATACTAAAAAGCTACTTTAAATTCCATCCAAGAGATATAAACAATAAAACTAAAATTGTCACTTAAAAAAATTTTATGATAAACAAATAAAAACAATGATAATTAAGAAGCATTAACTTTTTCAACTATAGAAGTGATAACACTTGGATCAGCCAAAGAACTTAAATCACCCAACTTTTCACGCAACTTTTCACCGCTCAACTTTTCAACTTTGTTATCAACAACTTTACGCAAAACTCTGCGCATAATTTTCCCGCTTCTAGTTTTGGGTAAATCATTTACAATATATATTTTCTTTGGAGTAGCGAATGGACCAATTACTTTACGGACTTGTGTGGTTAAATCTTTGGTGTCGGTGGATAATGATTCCTTATCTGATTTCAAAATAACAAAAGCATTTACAGATTGGCCTGTTAAATCATCATGAACACCAATAACGGCTGTCTCTGCTACACCTGGATGAGTGATCAAAGCTGATTCGATTTCTGAAGTTGATAATCTATGACCTGAAACGTTGATTACATCATCTACACGACCCCTAATCCACAGATATCCATCCTTATCTACACCAACACCGTCACCGGTGAAATAATAACCTTTGTATGGTTTTAAATAAACATCTAAATATCTATTATGATTCTTATAAACTGTACGGGCCATTGATGGCCATGGTTTTTTGATTGCTAATACACCTTCCACACAATTACCCTTAAGTTCATTGCCATTTTCAGGATCCAGTATAGCAGGTTCAATACCAAAGAATGGGAATGTTGCAGAACCAGGTTTGGTTGGTGTACAACCAGGTAGTGGTGTAATTATGATCGAACCGGTTTCAGTTTGCCAATAAGTATCAACTACTGAACATTGTTTTTTACCAACAACCTCATAATACCATTCCCATGCTTCAGGATTAATAGGTTCACCAACTGATCCAATAACTCTTAAACTTGATAGGTCATGACCTTCAACGTATGAATTACCAAATTTTCTTAATAATCTGATAGCTGTCGGTGCGGTATAGAATTGAGTGACCTTGTATTTTTCTACCACTTGCCAATATCTGCTTGGTGTTGGATATATAGGAGTTGATTCAAACAATACGGTTGTGCCACCATTTGCCAACGGACCATAAACAATATAGGTATGACCAGTTACCCAACCAATGTCAGCCATACATGCAAAGATATCGCCTTCATGATAGTCAAAAACATATTTCAAAGTAGCAGCAGCACCTAATAAATAACCACCAGTAGTGTGCAAGACACCTTTTGGTTTACCAGTTGAACCAGATGTGTATAATAAGAACAATGGATCTTCAGAATTAACAATCTCAAATGGACAATAAGGTCTCTGTTTTTCAATTTCCTCATGCCACCACTTATCACGCGGAGCAGAGAAAGGTACAGGATTGCCAGTACGACGGAACACCAAGACATTTTTCACACAAGGACAATCTTTTACAGCCTCGTCAACAATTTTTTTGATGTTGATTGTTTTACCACCCCGTTTACCCTCATCTGAAGTTATGACCAATGTACTTGAAGCATCTATGATACGATCACGTAATGCCTCAGATGAGAAACCAGCAAAGACAACAGAATGAACTATACCAAGTCTTGCACAAGCCAAAAATGCTACTACAGCTTCAGGTACCATTGGCATGTAGATGGCTACAGTGTCACCTTTTTTCAAACCATATGATTTCAAAGTTAAAGCCAATCTGTTAACTTCATGAAACAATTCACCATAAGTGACTTTACGTGAGTCAGATGCTTCATCGGCTTCATAAATAAGAGCAACCTATCAATTTGTAAAAGTGAATGTAGATGTAAATATGAATAGAGCGAATAGATAAAATATTTATTCATTTATAACGATTAGATGATTGATTACCTTATTAGGGTTCTTTAATGCGTGTCTATCAACACAATTGTAAGAAGCATTCAATTCACCTTCAGGAAACCAAGCGACATCGCCATGTTCAAAACCTCCGGAAACAACAGTTTCAAATGGTTTATGCCAATAAAGCAATTCATTAGCAAGCTATCCATATATGTATGCATGTATAAATATTGTAAGAAAATAAAAATGGATAATCATTTCAAATTAAATTAAATCAATTAATTTAATTATTATTAATTACCTTTCTCCAGAAAACGTCAGGTTTAGTAATGCTTTCATTATAAAGTTGCTTATAATTTTCAAAGCTGTTGACATGAGGTTTTGGATGAGCAGGTAAGAGGCGCGATGGAACTTGATGAGTTGGTATGTCGATATTTAAATGATCTTCTGATTTTGACATTTTTTTGATTTAATTTTATTATTTCAATTAATAATAATTAATTTTCAACTGAAGGAAAATATGTGGGATTTATATATTATTTTAATTTGTACTTATTTTTTATATATGTATTAATTAAATATGATTGTTTATATTAAACATATTAAATATGTATAAATTAATGGTGGGTAAATCCTAATGTGAGTGAAACCGGTTGTTTATAGAGAGAATTTACTATATTTAATTGTTGAAAAACCAATTTGTACCACATTATTAAAGATTCAAAAGTTGTGTTCTGCAAGTAGGCTCTGTCTTTATTCATTTTTTCTGTAATAAGATTATCGATTCCCTCTTTTTTATTTGTCATTGTAGAATCATATTAGTATTAATATTAAAGATTCTATTACTTAAATAATAACATAAAAGGAAATGATAAAAATGCACGTTTTGTCATCTTCTAGTGTGAAACCAAATTCATCTGTTGTCCTGATATCACAAATATATTCTACCTCTTTTATTATTCTTTTTTGTACAGTGAATGAGTGAGTTTAATTACTTCGTGTGCTCGTACTGTTATTACCTTGCATACACACCCATTCCTTCTTGTATTGTTTCTTGCTTAGTTTACAATGAATACTGACTGGAATCTGCTCAATCAAATGTCATTTCCATCCGCAGATGGATAACATTAAAAGTTGATTGTCAAATAAATTTGAAAGATGTCGTTTTAACAAACAGGTATAAAAGAAATAGTTTGTTTGAACCATTATTTGCAATAATATGGTCACAGTATTTGTAATGCAATTTACTAGTTCTTATGTCCTGATATAAACAAATATCAAACATCTCACTCAATACAATTCATAATAAATCTCTTTCTGTAATGGTATACATATGAAAAACAAATTCCAAATGAAAAAAAAAAACAGATCCAACAGGTATAGAAACAGAATTTGGTTTCAATATTTAAATGCAAAAACCTTGGTTTATTTTTCAATTGCAAAAAAAATTTTTTTTGATTTTTCTTTTTAGTTCTTCCACTATATAATTACTACTGCGATTTTGTCAGTAGGCTAAAAAGAAAGATTGAATGGTTTTTCTAACAGAACTTTTTTTGTGTGCAGTCCATTGATCTCATTTTCAAGACTATGTAAACCCCACCCCCCACATATACACTGGACTTTATCTCATCAAGAGACAAAGTAGAAAAATTGCTAATCTTCACCATCATTACAAATGTTATTAAGATAATAAATAATTCAGCTTGACTAACCAATTGATCTCACATGCATGCATGAACAAACGTGAGTATTTTGAATTTGAAATAAAAGATTACAAAGATGATAAAACTTATATGTAGAGTCATCATATGTATTGTATATGAAAAATTGATAATGGGACAGGGTCTGACCAAATTTGTGCCTTTTATTTAATGTTAATCTACAACATATAACCATAAATTGATGAAGTGAAAATCTGTACGCGGAATCTTTACATTTAGAACGTTTTATACTCGTTTTTCTAATTGGGTAGGATAAATAATGACAATTTTTCTTTTTTTATTTTTTTTATGCAACAAATTTTTGATGTTATGGTTTCAAAAGAAAAGTTTGTTGAGCTCTCTAAATCATAATAGGAAATTTTCTTTATGACAGCTCATTGATTGGTCCAATAACTGCATTAATAAAAAACCTTTTATTGCTGAGATCATTATATGCCTATCTGCTAACAAGCATGTTGGGAAATGATTGACTCATACAAAATAATGTTAAGAGAATAATGTCAATGAAAAAAACAAAAGTGGTAATTGACAATAAATGTTGCCGTAATGAATCCAAAAAATTCATAGGTTAGTAACAAAAATAGCTTGGCCCATATTGTGATTGGCTGATTATTAGATGACAACAATCATATTGATAGGAATTGTTCTCTAATTTGATTACGTAAGAAACAATTTTTTACCACGAAATAAAATTTTCTGTGTGTTTTAGATCTGGATCATGTGGCATTCTAGATACTTCACCATACATGATTTCATACAAGTTGCCATCAGTATTAATGGTTTGGCCATCCTGATCTTTGATATTTTTATTGATGACAATAGTGCAAAAATTGCTTCATGTAGAGATAATCTACTGATATAAAACCTGGTGGTTACATCCGCCAAATGATATTCACCAATTATTCACTGATTATCTGTTAATCAGATGTTAATTAATCAAGTGTTGAAAATTTTTTCATTAGAATGAAAAAATTTTTATCCGCGTAATTAAATGAAATTCCTTTAATACTACTTTATCCACTATCACACTATCACAAACATTCTTTTATTATAACAATATAATATATCAAGTAATATATGAATACTCAACTGTGTCATTATTAGCTAAAAAAGATTTATGCATTGCAGCAACTTCTACTTCAAGTGAGCATCTATTTATTGAAGCTGGAAACACAATGACAGCTAAGCGAACAAAATTGAATCCGTTGTTATTTGAAAGGATTGTATTTTTTTAAAAAAATATGGATGTATTGAAAATATTTTTCCTGACAAATAAAATAATTGTATTAAATTTATTAAATCAATGAATATTCAATAGGATATTCGGCGAATGACTGATTATCCAGCTGTTGAATTTTATTGACTGACCAGTTATCCGTGTGTTGAGCTTTATAAACACCCAGATAATCAACGTATACAACCACTAAAAAGATGAAGACTTTGCCACAGTATGTTTCAAAAAGTTTTGATGGTAAATCTACTTTATTATGAATAGCAGGTATAAATTAAACTTAGGTTTTATAATTACTATGATTTATGTTGCCAAAAGGACAGAAAAGAAAAATAGATAAATATGTAATAATAAGACTCATTGCATTTATTTTCCTTCTTCCAAAGATTTCTGCTTTTTGTTTGGTAATAGCACACCTTCATTCTGCCTCTTTTTATTATTTTTTTTTCCTCTTGGTAAATTTCATAGGTGATTTTCTCTTTCCTTAGATAAGCCTCAAGTGCCTGAATATCATTTATTTTGACAATATAGGGTGTAATTTTCTCACCTTGTTCCTTTTTCAAAGTACTTCCGATTGTACTATAATTCTTACAGATCTTGGGTTATCAAACCCAGAATATCAAATGATATATTTGGAGTACTGCCATATATTGCACCAGAGGTATTAAATAAGCAACTTTATACACAAAAGTCTGACATCTATAGCTTTAGGATTTTAATGCCAGAATTATCAACGTGTCAACAACGATTCAAAGATCAACCGCATGATCTGTGGTGGATTAAGACCTAGTTTTTCAGGTAATACTTCAAAACGTTATATTATAGATGCACAGATGCTGATCCTGAAAAAAGACCAACAGCAAATGAAATTTTAAATATTATTGTTTTTTGCTATTGATGAAATCTAAAATTAAAAAAAACCTATTTATTTTGAAGAACGATTTGATAAATTAATGGGAATGAGAAAAATATTTGATAAAAAATCTTTTATAACAACAACTGATCATCCAAATGCTGTTTTATAACAAGTATATTGATTATTGAATTTTACAAATCTTCCTCATCCAGTAAGCTCTAATAAAGTTACACAAGTATTGATAATAATGGTAATTATCAACATTAACATTATTTTGTTATTGTTATATTTATATGTAGTTTCTCATCATCTGACTATTGGAATTTTCACATGATCTTTTTATTACCTTTATTATATATCTATTTAAATTAAATCCTCATTGTAGTCCCAATTGAAGTGATTTATCACCATGCATCTTATTATTATTTTTTTTTTATTGTTAAAGTTGAGGCCTTGTGATCATATTTGTTTATCTAAATGGCGAATTTATTTTTTGGATCATAAAAAAGTACCAAATTTAATATTCAGATGCGATCAGTCTTCGGTTGGCACAGACAATTGCTATTTTTGATTGGATAGTTTTATAAGTCTAATGACTAACCCTCAGTTCTGTTAACGTTATTATTATAAATATTATTATTATTATTTTGTTAGTTATGCTAATTTTTACGAAGTTGCAATAAATTTTGCGCTCTTCATCAAAAATAGAAACATCATACTTTATTTAGCTGCATAAAGTTAGTCCAGATTCAACATTTAATATTAATATTTGGATGACAATTTTTGGATTGAAATAGTGTGGCACAATAAAATAGGTTTAGCTATTTATAGAGTTTTTTTTTTTTTTGGAGTCAAAATTTCTATTTAATTTATTTAATATAATAAATTAAAATTATGTGACATTACCTCATCGTAAAAAAAAAGACTAACTTTATAAAAGTTTAAACATCAATTTAAACCATTTTCTTTAAATCAATAAAACAAAACTATTTCCTAATAAAACTAATTCGTTAGTAATAGCTAGTTTATTCTGATCTACGTAACCATATTTGTTATCCAAATAATATTTGTTAATATTAACGTTGAGTTGAGAACCTATAATAAACAACACAGTAGTTCTTGTGAAACAATGCAATTTCTTTTTATAGTCTTCAAAATTTCCCAAAATAAAATAAATAAAAGGAGATTACTGACAATTTTAATATTATTATAATATCTGATATTTAACAGCTTACTCAATATGAATGAACCATCACAACAAAGCTATGGAAAATATAGTACCAAAGTAAATTTTTCATATCCTAAGGGTCAATCTTCATTCCAATTTGGACGTTTAGGAATAGAAGATTCTTACTTGACTGGTACACTCCGTCTTCATTTTAATAAATTGTTTGTCAATCAAATTATTTTAAAATTTATTGGCACCGAGCATGTATATTGGACTGAAACAAGAACAAGGAGTATTAGCGATGGGTGCCACACTGAAACATATTCAGCTACCAATATTTTATGTTGTTTATCTACATGTTTATTGGACAACTCGGATAAATCTTATCAAGAAATATCAAACATGGATTTACCATTCAAAATTAAATTACCAGAAAATATTGCTTCAACTTTAAGGTTAGGAATCGGTAATGTTAATTATAAACTTACTGCAGAAATATCTCGAAAAAGGAATTTTTGGAAATTTCAAGGGTCAAGGAAAAATATTAAATGTGATTGTAACATCTTAAAATATTGTTTACTCCCGCCACCAGTTCCTGTACATTGGGTAGAATATGATACCGAAAAAGCCATCACATCAAATGGTATAGGTTATAACATTCATATGGATGATATAAATTTTGGACCTAGTAATCCAATAATTGTTTATGTAAAATTGAAATTATATAATCCTAAATTAAAGATCAAAGAAATGTTCGTTGGACTAAAAAAATATTCTAGCTTTAGTGCCCAAGGCAGTTCAAAGCATGAGAATGAGTATGTATTAAAAAAACAAGTTATTGGAGACAAAATTACATGGGATAATTATAATGAATGTCAGTATACTTTTGTATTGGATATTCCCGAAGATATGGAAAAATTTGGACAGACGATCAAACTCGAGCATATTCTTATAGCTCATAAGGTTGAAATCAAGATTAAAAAAGAAGGAATGGATATTGATTTAGAACATGATGTGAGGATTGATAATTTTTTGTCTGTAACTTCATAATTTCACACTATTTTATTTCTTATTTGTTATATTTTATTCATATTTATTTTATTAATAAAGTCACATGTATAAATTACCATAATTATAAATTTTATTGTAATGAGAACCTAAGAATGATGATGGGGTATTCGAAAGTACTTTTTACAAGTTGTGTAATATTTAAGGTTGTGGGCGAAACTCCCCCAGAAATCAATTGACAGAGTTTCGATAGGTTACACATTAATTGTTAATTAGAGTTTCTGCAGAATTTCGCATTTGGGGGTTTTGTCAATCGTCAGAGTTTTGACAAGGTATATACTAATTGTTCATTAGAGTTTCGACAGAGTTTCAACAGTCACTAAGAGGTTTGGGAAGCAACCTTAGTAACATCATTGGTAAATATACATTTGGATTTCCCTTGATGGTTTAGCTTCTTTAAAAAAAAAGTCAAGAACCTTGGTTCAAGTGAGATACTTTAGTAGATAGTTAACAAGAAATTATAATTACAACAATTTTAATAAACAAATTGACGTGATTATAAAAAAATATATTTAGGTTAATATTTATAACTAACTACAAAGCTAATTGAACATTTTCTATTGTGATGATATTTTAATTTCTTACATAGGCTGTTATAAACCTATCAAAAAAGTTACAATGATTAAACTTATATAGATTATATACATATATATGAAGAGTAATAATCATGATGGTTATAAAAAACAGTTGAATTTTTAGGAGTAAGTTGTAAATGTAGTTGCTCAACTAAGGCTCCAAAGGAAATTTGCCAGATTATGTAAAGCCTTTCAAGCTCTTTCCAAACCATAACAAGATGTACTCCTAATGGTTCAACTTAATGCCATGGATTGTAAGTACTAGCAGATGCCTTAAAAAGCAAACCAGATCTAATAAAAGAATCTTCTATCACTGAGATCATAATACAATTATCATCCTCTGTTTCCTCCTCCTTCTCCTCTTCTTCTTCCACCACCATTTCAATCCCATTCATTGATTAAATTTCTCCACTCATGAGATGATTCAATATCATGTTCAGAGTATTCAAATCATTATTAAAAAAATCATCATTTCTATCATCATCATCAGAAACCATAAACAATTCATCTGTTTGTTCTTGAATAATTGGAATTGCAATACTTGTGGTTTTAAATTTTTTGTTTGAATCTTGAATATTTTCTAATCATTCTAATCTCTGAAATTCTCCTTTCATTTGACTCATAGCAAAGACCTTTTCAGACTATAATAAAAAAATTAGATGATTTAATAATTATAGTCAAAAAATATATAAAAAAAATATAAATTCACATATATCCAAAAGATTGTGTGGAAAAAATCCATTGCAGAAAAGAGCAGCAGTATTATGCATATTGCAAATACTTTGATAGAAAAGTCCCCAAAAGCCAAATACACCATCATTAAATTATTTTAATGAAATATTGTGAAAAGGAAAATTTTGTCTGATAATTTTATAATTCACCTAGCAAAGTATCAGAAGCTTTTTGAAACCATACATACACAAAAATAACATATCACCCATTCACTGAGTTTGCAATAGAAATAGATATATTATCTTGAAGGAAAATTTTGTCATGATATTCAGGATGAAGAATAAAGGATAATAATAATAATGGTTGCTCCCATATTTGCCAACGTTTTTCTAGATGAAATAATAATTCTTGCACTTAAATTTTGGTCAGGATATTCTTTCCACGTCTTGTAAAAATAGGCAAACAATGTAGTACATCATGAAGACCAGCATTATCTGTCTGTTTGTAATTTGTTGAGTGTACCACAAAAGCTTTTCTAATTTTTTAATATCCCTCCACCAATCTTTATTAGCAATTATTCTACAGGTTTCAAGTGGCAATTCTCTATCATTCTCATCATTCCCTGTATAATTATCATCTGCTTCAAATTCACTAGGAGCATATTTTGAAACAAGCAACTAAACAAATATAAGAATTAATTCTTATTGAATAAAAAACCTTTAATGATATTTTTTAAATACCTTTAAAGCAAACTTAACTCTCAACAAACTGGAGTAGCAGTGGTAATGAGAATTCCAGCAAATAGCACATGGAAGAAGAAGTGCAAAATATTTGTTATGTTTAAACTTTTGTTCATCATGTAACTCTGCCATAAAGTAAACTGATCTGTTTAAGGAAAAAATGATTTGAATTGCCTTTTCAGATGAAACAACTAAACTAGATGATTCTTTAAAATCTCTCCAACAATTAAATTGGTTTGATATACAAAACAAGGACCAAAAAAAACATCATGTCATTCTGGTGCCAGCCATTTTCTACAAAATATATAAGTTAAACTTACAAATAATTGAATAAAAATTTATTTTAAAAAAAATACCTTGCTGCTTGATTTTGTGATGCTTAATCATAGCATTATTTTTGGTGTTTAGTTGTCCAAAAAATTTAATGATAATTCTTTTATGCTTCCCAAATTAAAATTTATCCATGTGAAATAATTAAAACTGAACCTAAAATTTCCTGCTTATTAATGTTTTTCCACCCATCAAAGCCTATTGTAACACCAAAAAAATCCTTCTACGCAGTATCAATTAAACTGTTTCGAATTACTAGTTAAAATATGACCAGCTAATATTTTACAGCTTGGTAATCTCAATCCTGGATTTGCAAAATTAAATAATATTTGACTTGATTTTTTGTCAACCCATCTGAATGACCAATCATTATCTATGGTAGAATTCAATACAAGCTTCTCTCAATGTTCTTTATCTTGTTTAGAAAGAGGAACAGAATGAGCAAAATAATTACTTATTTTTCTTTTTTTATTACCTGATTTTTCTACAGATAAGGCTGATGATAAACTTGATAAAATTGAAAGACTTGAAAATTCATTGTTGCATATTGAAGATGAAGAATCAAGTTCAGTACTTCAAAATATAAAATTGTGCATTATGTAAATCTGTTTTGATAATATTCTGTTTGCTAAAACCTCTTTCACAATTTACACTAGAAAATGGAATTGGGTACACTATTTCCATAAGTTTTAAGATATTTGGATAACTATCTAAATAATTATCATATAATAAAGGAAATAAATCAT